GAACCCCAGGACTGCAAAGCATCCACAGCAGCCACTCTGGCTGCTTTTAGCTGCAGGTTGGTGTGTTCCAGCTGCAGCAGCTGGGGAATATTTCTGAAAGAGAAGTTGAATGTGACAACATTGTCAGAGTGAGGCTCAGTCCCTGATAACAATCTCTGGTCACGTTGTTCTCATTGCTCAATAACCCACCTCTCTGTTCCACGCTCCAGCATTTAGTGACCACACAGGGGTGTCACAGGAAGCAATGCCTCTAATTTCAGCTCTGCTTTGTACTTTGGGGGTTTGTTCACAATGCCCACATGTTCTAAAAATTAGACTCACATTGGTGGCGTGACAGGAACCACACACTGGAAACAGCTCAGGCTAAATGGTTGTGCTGGGTTTGCAGTCTGGGCTGGAAGGAGGGATCTGCCCTCTGCTCCTCTGCAGGGTGACACCAGAGGGAGGTGACAGTGCTGCTTGAGGTGGCTCATCACCCAGCCCTCACAGAACATCAGTAGTCACTTGTCAGGGGTGAACCACATTTGCACAACCATTTTCTCCTGGATGTGTTTCATAAAGATCACAGCTGGGGTGTGAAGTTCAGGGACAGCTCAGGGGGCACCAGGGAGGGCTGTGACCAGTTTCTCATGGAGCAGGAGATGGTGACCCCAGTTACACAGGGGTCAGGATGTTGGGGCTGAACCCCATCCCCCTGCTGTGGGAAATGAGTTTGGCACCTGCAGGAGCACTGGTCAGATGTGACAGGAGGGGATAGGTCTGGTCTGCAGTTTCTTTCAGCATCCTGAGGGTTGTTGCTGTTTCCTGGCCATGCAGCTGAACCCCCAGGAGTGTTGGGCTTGCAGGGTGTTCCAGGATCACAGGCTGAAATAGGTGAAGAGCTTTAGAAGCTTTTCTTCATTCGTTTTTTCTCAGTGTAACTTTCAGTAAAGCACTTGACCATTTCTGTCAGACCAGCCTGAAAGGTATTTTTAGATCCACGTTATAGGGAGATAATTAGTTCTTTAATGTCAGGATGTGCAGTGGGTAAAGTAATTGGAGAGGGAGACACAGCATGATTAGTTCCCTCTGTTTGAGGAGTCTTTAGAGAATTTGGAGTGATTAAAAAAAAATGTTTGCTAAGTACTAAATTTTATTCTTGGATTGTTTGAGAAGTGATCCAAAAGAAATAGGTGATTTTAAGTCAGCTTTTGGGTCAAGAAAGCAGGGCTGTGGGAGAGCATCACCCCCTGTGCCTCGGGGGGAGCAGAGCCTGTCTCCCCAAGCCTGTGCTATGGAGACAGTGTCAAAGACCTTTTGTGGCCCATAAATAGATTTATTATTTATTTCTTTAGGAAAAAGCAGCCATCAGGAAGAAGCAGAAAATGTTGATGTGAAAGAAAAGGCCCCAGAGCTGCAGGTTGAGACTTAGAGATGTCCCAGAACACAGTGTTGGCCACCAGTGGCTGCCTCCCCAGCCCTCTGCTCTGAGAAAAGCCCATTGTTATCTCTGCAGGAAGCTGCTTGGCTGCCCCCCTGACACTAATTTGATGAAGTCCCCCCAGTGGCACATAAATAATATGGAGAAGACAAGTAGTCACTGATGGGGCAGCTCCCAGGGTGTCTGGGGCTGGTGGGACTGACAGAAGCTTCACTCTCTGAGCTCTGTCAGGAGAGGGAGAAAAAGGGTCTGGAAATGGGACATTAAAGCCTTGATAGAACAAGAGTGCAACTCATGAAGTGAAAGATTGAGAAAAAGAGGAACTAGAAGAACAAAATAAGAAGAAGGAAGGCTTGGCAGGGACCAGGGAGTTGCTCTTGTGACAGGCATGAATTGGGGTTTGTTGGGTTTTTTCTTTACAATGTACATTTTTTCACACCCAGCACTGTTTGTGTTATCCTCTTGTTCAGGAGCTGTGGGTTGTTAAAATTTCAATTCCTGTTATCAGTGACTTGTGCAATGATCCTGTCAGGATCACAAGCTTTCTGGATCAGGATGGTTCAAACCCTGACCTGCAGGTGCCCACAGATGATGTGGAGAGCTCAGAAAGCACATTCTGGGTTTTGGAGTATGAGAGTTAAACATCACTTCTGAAATTAAAAACCCCATAGGATGATTCTCCAGAATTAACTCGAGCTTCTGGCCAAACCCCAGAGGGGTGATGATGTTCTGCCTGCCCAACTTTCCCTTGTAGTTTCACCTCAATCTGATGTTTTGTCTCCCCTGCTGTAAACTGTTTGGTATGTCTTGGTATTTCAGGCTGGAAGCAGGTGCATTTGAGCTGCTGATAAATATATCTATGCAAATCTAAACACAGAGTAATTGGGAATAAAAACCAGACTAGAAGAGCAGTGTGGTGTTACCTCAGGCATTGCATCTGGTGCCTGGTGATCAGGCAGCTCCTGGCTGGGCAGGGCTGGGCTGAGCCCTCTCATCCCCTTCACCCTGAGTCACCTGTGGGTGCCCGTGGCACCGAGGGCTGGGGAAGCTCTGCACCTTCCCAAAATGCTGAACAAACATTCACAAACGGTTCTGGCTGAGGTTTGGTGAGTCATGGTGTGTGCTGACTGAAACTCCTGTGATATCAATAACAGCAACAATAAACAAGGAGTGACTGGCTTTGAAATGTGCAGGGAGATGCTGCTGACTCTGCTGTGCAGGGATGATGCTGCATTTTTATCTCCTGCTGTACTTGGCCAACAGCAGTTTAAGTCCAGTCCTTAATAAAGCTGCACTTAGCAGGGCTGAAGGGAGATGGAAGCACTTGGATGGTTTTCCTCTGGGGTTGCTTCTCTCTCTGGATAATGCTTCATGACTTCAGGTCTGCCAGGGCCATAGCACAGGAACTGGGCACCAGGATCCCTTCACAGAGGGGTCTGACCTGTGTTACCTTCAAAGTAACTGACCCTTGCTTGTCTCCCTTCTCTCCATAGATACCAACCCCTAAAGCCTTGGCCAGTCTTGCAACGTGTCCAGTTTTCACCACACTGCTCCCTAGTGCTGCAGCTCTTAGTGCTGCTTTTTAATGCAGAAGTGCCACTGACCCTTGTTCTTCAGGCAGGAGCAGGTTGGGGGAAGGTGCAGCAGCTGCCCCAGGGTTAGTCCTGAGGGGAGGTGGCAGTTGTGGGGGGAGGTGGCAGTTGTGGGGTGCCCCCCACAGCCCCCCTGGGGCTGCAGGGAAATGCTGGGCAGGGGGGAGCAGGGCTGGGGGGGGAGCCCAGGGGATAAATGGGGAAACCCCCCAATGGGCTCAGTCTCCAGGGAGTGATCCCAGGGGACAAGCACTTTCCCTAAAATTAGAAGTCTGTCATGAGGTTTAAACCACCTAATCCTGCCAAGTGTGCCAGAAAAACCTGTGCCTGATCAGTCTGAGCTGCAGCACTTGGGGG